ACGCAGTCAATATGCTCAGCCAGGCTGTTCATGCCCCGACACAAGCTCACATTGCCACTGCGACTCGTATCTTGCGGTACCTCAAGACCTGTCCTGGTCGTGGTTTATTTCTGCCTGTTTCACCTGACCTTTCTTTGACTGCATATTGTTGTGCCGATTGGGCTGGCTGCCCTCTCACCCGCCGGTCAACGACAGGATATTTCATTAAGCTTAGATTCTCCCCTATTTCCTCGCGCACCAAGAAACAATCTATTGTTGCGCGATCTTCGGCTGAAGCAGATTACCGTGCCATGGCTAGCACGGTCAGCGAGATTGTCTGGCTTCGCTGGCTTCTGCGTGATCTAGGTGTGACTCTCACCCGACTGACTCCTCTCTATTGTGATAACTAGGCTGAGTTACACATTGCTGCTAACCCGGTGTTTCATGAACGTACCAAGCACGTGGAGATGGACTGCTACTTTGTTCGTGAACGAGTTCAATCGGGTGATGTTTTGCCACTCAAGATTGCCACTTCTGAGCAGCCGACAGATCTTTTCACCAAAGGTCTTAGCATTGATCAGTTCTCTCACCTTCTGGTCAAGCTTGGACTTCTGGATATTCACTCCTTCGCTCGATGGGGAGTATTGAGTTTCATGGACATGATTTTGTTCTTTTGAATAGTTTAGGCACCTCGTTGTAATTATGCCATCCCGTGTTTTGTGTTGCTAGGGATCGGCTACTACTGGGTATACAAGAGCCAGGGTTACACGCCCTAGCCACCAAGAAAACCTAATCAAAATTAATAAAAGAACAGCCGAGAACTCACGTTCTGCGTGGACAAGTCTCGTTCATTCATGAATGGGGAAACCACGTAAATCCGGTGTTGTGCGTTCTCTTCTCTTAGTTCGATCATTGGAATTTTACACCCCTGAATCGGGAACTTCTTTGCCTCTATAATGCCTCCAACACACGCCTTCTTCTCGATTGAATTTGCCATTGACGTCGAGTATGGAGCATAAACAAATGTTGTTTGAAACAGGGGTTGTTGTTCCTGTTTTTGTGTCGACATTCATTCACAAAAATCAAATTCCTATGCCACTGATTTGAACCGGAGCTCTGATACCACTTAATACAACCCTGGGAGGGTGTATGTTATCAAAGTCACACAGAAAACAATCAATCCAAAGATTGATTGATCTCGAATCAAGAACAACGCGTTCTTAATACGAAAATTGGATAAAACGGAAGCGAAAGGGAATTCTTACACCTGGAAGAATGCACAATCGTTATGGTGAAGATTTCGATATAATCGAGTATGATTGCTCGATCAATAAGAAAGTCAACAAGTTTTGATCACAACCAAAACCCAAAAATAACTTCGCAAACGTAAACAAACCAACCGATTTCTATTCAACAAAGTCTTCTCTCTTTTACAACGAAAATAGAAGGCTATTTATAGCCAAGAAAACCTAATACAAACATAAAAGAACAAGGAAACAAATAAGGTAAAATTCTACTCTAAAAAGGATACAAAATTCAGACCCAAACTTCCTTTCTAGAAGCACAAGTAAGCTGCCAGCAAACAGTCCAAAAGCAGCTTTCGTACTAACTTTGCGCCTTTCGTTCGAGGCCCTCTGGAACTCCAATATTTCATCCATTTCCTTCCCTTGGTAGATAAACATACATATTTTCATGTTTTAGAAGCCTTTGTACTTGAATCCCTTTCATGCTCCTCGAATTGATCTCCAAAGTAGGCTTTGCAAAACAACCTTAATGACTTCATCTGGATCCAAAAACCATGCCAACATGAAGAGGGATACTCTATATTCAAAATAAACCCTTAACCTCCAATTTTCAGTTAGACAATTTCGAGAACCAAACCTCCAAAGTAGGTACCTCGACACTGCACCAACACTTAACCAAATTTTGCCTCTTTTCTTTCCACCCTTGATAGCTTCTTTTGCAAGTAATAAAAACGTGCAGAGTTGGCCATTTGGGATCATATCAAACATCGGAGTCGAAAGTTGGACAAAAGGGCGAAAGATAAAGTCAAATGGTGGAAACAACAGTAGTTCACGGTTTGGGCTGTGTGTTCACGGTCACTAAGACCGTGAACTGGAGGCGCTCCCCGCAAACTGGCAGACATCCAAAGCAAGGATGGTTTAACTGGACACAAGCCAGTTCACGGTCGTAAGAACGTGAACTCAGAACTCCATCCATGAATAGATTTTAGTGATGTTGCACGTTTCATTGTTGGTTCACGGTCTGTGCTTTCAGTTCACGACCGTGAACTGAGCCCGATCTGGGTATATATAAAGGAGGTTGAGCCAAAGGAGAAAGGGGGAGACCTAGTGTGAGAAACTTCTTCTTCTTCAAATATCTAGAGTGAGAAAGTGACGAACCAAAGAAGAGGAGAAGCTAGGGTTTCATCTTCAAGCAAGGAATTGGTAATTCCTCCCCCAAAGGAGGATCTCTTCAACACAAGGAGCAATGCTAGCATCTCTTTGATGGTTTTCCTTCTTCGCTCTTGTGTTTTCCCTTCTCCTAGCATGGAATAGTCCCTTCTTTCACTTGGGTGTTTGTAAACCCTAGCTACAATTATTTGAATGCTTGTATGAATTGAATGATTTGTGTGTGGTTGTGTTTAATGTGAATGTGGAGGTATTATTCATGAATGATTGTGTTGTGTGAAGCCTATCAATCTTATTGCCATTCTAACCTAGGTAGAGAAAAAGACCCCTTCCCTTCTTTGAAAGAGGTTTGAATGCTGGCTTTTCTTAGGCAATTCATTGTTTCCTAGTTAGGTTAATACAGGGAAAACCTCCTATTTCGTATTAGCACCTAGGGTTTGGTTGTGGGTGACCGTCCAAACTCCAATTCGAGAGTGAAGTCTAACCATTCCTTCGTCAATAGGTTGAGAGGGTCGCATTAGTGGCTTGGATCGTATCCCATTTCCTCGACCTAGAAACTAAGAGGTAACTTTGGCTACTTTTTAGACTTCCCTACGGTTTACAACCCCCTCACCACACACGACCATTCAATTCATCAAGTCATAATTGCTAACTAGGGGGAGCAACACCTGGCTGAAGCCTTCTCAATTAGTGTCAAAACCATTTCTCTTTGCAAGTACTTTAGCTTTAGACCTTTGTTTTCACCAAAACCAACCGCTAGATAATGTTTTCTTTTCCATATTTTTCTCTCTTGGTGTGTGTGAAGAGTTCAAGTGTGGAATTTGGGGCATTACCATGCCAAGTCTGCGTTATCGTGTTTTGGGATGTGGTGTAATCCGATTAGGGGCACATTGGAGTAGATTGAGTCAATAATTGTTGGGGGTACCCTGCTTTTCACTCAGTTCTGAGTTTTGGCTTCCAATTCACGGTTCGTGAACTGAGAGTGCACCCCCTGTTTTCAAAACTCAACGTTAAACCCCAGTTCACAGTTTGAGAGTTATGTTCACATTCTTAGTGACCGTGAACTGACTCCTCCGTCTGTGAACTAAGGGTTCTGCCTATAAAAGAGGTGTGAATGACTCAGATACCTTCCTGCCCGCCCTCTCTCGCTGGAAAATTCAAAAACTCGTCAAAAACTGCTATTTTCAGTCAATTTTTGGAGATCACGTCCGCCTCTTCTCCTCTCACTTTTGCGCACCTTCGCCTGTATTTTGGGGAGAATTGGGTATCATTTTTTTCGTCGAGACTCCGGCGAGCCTTCGCGATTTTCTGGCGAGGCTCCGATGACCCCACTCCTTCAAGTTTTCATTTTTTCCGGGTCGCTCGTCCTTTTATCATTTCCACCTTGACCCTACTTGAGTCTCCACGTTTGTTTTCAACCTTTTCCTTGTCAATTGTTGGAGAACAGGATTAGGTTGTGACGTGAGGTGAATTTTTTCGAATTGATGCTTGAATATAGAAATTAGGGCGAGGGATTAGCCGAATGATGTGTTTGAATGATGTTTGATGTTGCATGAACTTAATTGAGCCTTGGTGGGCATAAATTTTGGTGCAATTTGTATTTGACTATGAAACTTGCCCACCAAGAGCAAAAATATGAATGAATGTGGAACATTGCTTGTGGTTAATGGTTTGAAGCCATCAGGGCATGGTTAGGGTTTGTTTTTCTGTGTGGATAATCCATGAACCACCTAGAACCATGCCCCGATGAGCTTTGTGTGCATTTGAGCTTAGTTGTCCAAAAGCTGGTCTTGTCAAAGCCTTCAAGGCACAGGTTCGTAGTGGAAGCCTAAGTGTGGGGGAAATCTTTTCTCCACTTGATGTGAAACTGACAGTTATTTCCACGTATGGTGTATGTTTGGATGCTTTCCAGGATGGTTGATACAGAGCACGAGTTCATCGGCTACTTAGTGAACCACCCAAAGTACGGGACCAAGTTCAGCCAGTGGAGATACAGTGAGGTCAGGCCTCATTGGGTGGTAGATCTGGACATGTTTAACATGTTCAGGTGGTGATTTGTGATGTCGGGGGCACTCAGTCACCCCTAGTGGAGGCAGTTGTTGGCGATGGATGAGCTCATCTACAAAGAGCTCTGCGTGGAGTTCTACTCCACTTTTTCCCACGTCATTCCGGGGAGTAAGAGGATTAGACCCTACGTAGAGTTCATGTTAGGGGGTCAGCCGAGGGTGCTAACATATGATAGCTTCGCTGAGGCCATGGGGCTCGACCCTACCCATATGACAATTTTAGAGCGGAAATATACTAGCGACTTCCACTACCAGGCGGCCATCCACGCCATCTGACGCACCAAGCACCAGGGAGACGACTTCAGATGCTCCGTCACAAAATCTGTGAAGTTCAGGACACCATGGAGGATCTTGCACACCTTCCTGACGAAGTCCGTCATCCCTAGCCTGCTGGCTGGACACTTGTTTACAAACAGAGGGTTGATAGCCATCCATTCACTGAACAAGCCAGCTGAACCTCTCCATCTGGGAGTCGTGGTTGCCACTACCTTCGCTCGATGCGAGGGTCGGGACCGGGTGAACACAATACATTTGGGAGGCATCATCACCAGGCTGGCTTGACACTTCGAGACCACACCTCGAGGAGCGAGTGGATCGTCTCGAGGCACACTATGTGGGGGTCACCATTCTGCTTGACCGCACGGCCGATCTGGTAAAGAGGATGGCTCGCCGCCAAGGTGTCCTCTCCGATGATGAGGAGTGAGCTTGCTACGAAGAGGTAGCCATCGAGGGAGACACGTGGCAGAGCCGATTTCATTCGCCCTACTTCTCCACTTGCAAATTAAACTCTAAACTCTTTTTCTTTTTCTTTTTATTTTCTCCTTAAGTTGTGTGTGAATTGATACCTTGTGAGTTATTTATCTTGAATCTTATTGTGAACTCTTGTTATGTGTAATAACCTCGTCTCGAGCGAGAATGTGTTGTGTTTGTGCTTTTTTTTTGTTTCTCCCTTGAAGCTCGAACATCCTACCCCGTAATTCTTCCAACTGTCATTCACCAAGCCATGCGGTAACATCGTTCTACCCCCTATTTTACGCCATTGAGGACAATGTCGAGCTTAAGTGTGTGTGTGTGTGTGGGGGGGGGGGGTTATACTATTATGCTTGTGTGTGTGAGTGAATGTTTGGAGCCTTGATGTATGCCCAAATTTGAAAATTTTGAGGGCTCCAAGCAATGCATGATCAAAATGACCGGTTGCCGGGTGAATCTCGTGCTTATTTGGCATCGATCTTGAATTTTTACATGTAATCGAGTACATGCTATTATGATGACTGAGAATGCATTAGGTTTGCACAAAATCTTAGTTCTCATGTGTGCTTGAATGAATGGTGTATTGACTTGGTTACTTCTAGATTAAAATTTCCATGCATTGATTTTTTTTGAATTGGAATAGATGATTGGGTGGCTAGGTAGCCGTGTGAGTTTTGTGCCAATCATTTATTTTCATGTCTGATAGATCCCTCTCGCCATGGTGTGTAACATTGACCGTTGTCTCTAGTGAGTATGATGGAGGAATAGGATTAGTCCATGCCCGAAAGTTGATGATCCCGAAATATTTTATCCCCTAGTCAACCCCTTTGAGCCGTGTGACTTTGGGGGTCGTTCTAATGCTAGGAGCTTCATGCTTGTTGAGCTTAATGGTTGTTGAAAGAATGACCCCCACCCATCCTTTCATCTTGTTAAAGTCTGAGTTATCCTTGTGTCTCAGAATTCTCGTTTTTGAGCTCCATTGAGGTTCTACATAGGTGGTTTTACACGGTTCTTGCCAGAAATGAGAAGGTAGTGTTGGAGGAAATTTCTTAAATGGAGAGCATTGTTCGTTAAATGAAAAAAGTGGCATATGTTTAGCTCTCTAGTACCCCCCCCCCCCCCCCCCTCGAAAAAGAAAGAGAAAAAAGAAAGAAAAAACAAAAAGAAACGAAAAAGAGATAATAAAACGGGGTAAATAAAAGTAGAGAGTGGCCACATAAGTCTAAGTGTATGCTCTAGAAAGGGTTTCTTAGCATTCAAGCCATTGAAACACCTAAATTGTTTGATGACCTCCTTCACTACTAGGTTCGAAATGTGGATAGCAAGATAGGAGGAAGGTGTGCGCTTGAATGTGGTTCCCGATTGGTAGTCGTTTGGAAGAAGGGAAGTGTGGTTTTTGGCCGGTTCTAGTGGCATTTGTTTGTGGGAAAGGTTCTTAGTCGAGACCATAGAACCTTGGGTTTTAGGTTGAAGATGTAGGACCTCATGCCATGTTTGCCACCACCCAAAAAGCCTTTTCCCCATGTCCAAGACAAATGGCCAGTCATTTGAATCTGTGTCTAAGACCTCCGGACAAGCTAGTTATGAAAACCGTCCCATGAACTTTAGAATTTAGAGGTTGCCTCCCTGGTGGAGAGAAGATAGGGCTGAGTGTTGATGATTGTGCACATCTTTTGCACCAAAAAGGTCATGACCCCACTGGTTGAGAGTGAGTTATTCATTCTTGTTTTGCATGTTCATATCTTACCCCGGTAAGGACTCATGTCGCCCCGTTGTCTGTTCCTTGACCTTGAGTTCTATGCATAGTTAGTTGTGGTTGGCGAGTAGTCCGGTAGAGACTTGCATTGATTTGTGAACAGGGTCAGAACTTTTCATTTGCCCATTTTTATGCAATCGAATGTTGTTTGTGTGGATGTCGGTATTGTTGAGGCGGTTCATGTGTTGATGCCCAAATAGTCATTGATATTCACCGCTTTGTGCCTTTTGATTTTTCCCCAAGTCATCTTGTTAGGTTGAGATATTACCTAGGTTGAAAATGGTTTGCTTGTGGACAAGCAAACATCTAAGTGTAGTGGAGTGAATCGGGCTCATTTGTACACATTTTACCCCTCGGTTTGCTTAGTCGTTTGATGAATTTTTACTCCGGGAGGTTTGGTTTTACGTCGGGTTGTGCCTTGTTTTGGTATGTTTTAGGCTTTGGCAGGTGGAACCAACCCCGGAGTCGAAAGTTGACGAAAGGGCGAAAGATCAAGTCAAACGGTGGAAACAGCAGCAATTCATGGTTTGGGCTGTGAGTTCACGGTCACTAAGACCATGGACTGGAGGCGCTCCCCGCCAACTACCAGACATCCAGAGTACAGGCGGGTTTCATTGGACGCAAGCCAGTTAAATGTCGTAAGACCGTGAACTCAGACCATCGTTTGGGAACAAAGTTTAGTGATGCGTCACATTTCAGCGTTGGTTCACAGTACGTGCTTTCAATTAACGGCCGTGAACTAAGACCGCAAACTGACCCCGATCTGGGTATATAAAGGACGTTGAGTCAAAGGAGAAAGGGGGGAGACCTAGTCTGAGAAACTTCTTCGTCTTCTTCTTCTTCTTCATATTTCCATAGTGTGAAAGTGACGAACCAAAGAAGAGGAGAAGCTAGGGTTTCATCTTCAAGCAATGAATCGGGAATTCCTCCCCCAAAGGAGGATCTCGATAACACAAGGAGCAAGGCTAGCATCTCTTTTATGGTTTTCCTTCGTCTCTCTTGTGTTTTCCCTTCTCCTAGCATGGAGTAGTCCCTTTTTCACTTGGGTGTTTGTAAACCCTAACTACAATTATGTGAAAGAGGCTAGAATGTTGGGTTTTCTTAGGAAATTCATTGTCTCCTAGTTTGGTTAATGTAGGGAAAACCTCCTATTTCGTATTAGCACCTAGGGTTTGATTTTGGGTGGTCGACCAAACTTCGATTCAAGGGTGAAGTCTAACCAATCCTTAGTCAATAGGTTGAGAGAGTCTCATTAATGGCTTGGATCGTATCCCCTTTCCTCGACATAGAGACTAAGACGGTAGATTTGGCTACTTGTTAGACTTCCCTACAGTTTACAAGTGGATAGGTGCAACAGTCCTCTTTCATGTCCTCTTTTTGACCAAATTGTTTGGTGCAACAGTCCTCTTTCATGTCCCAGAGTTGGACGTAGAATGGAGCAATTGACAATTCATCAAAGGTCTTCTTAGTAATTGTTGGCGTCCAGGATCGAAGATTGAACAGTTTGTCCTGGATAACCCATGGGGTTCGCTTCAGGACCCAAATATTAGCCTCTTCATTTGCTAACACCATTTTGAATAGGCCATGCTTAGTCCTCGATACCCTGATCCGACCCTTCATATGTCAGGCAACAATTAAAGCATCCCTTAGCTCCATGGTTGTGATTTGGTTATCAGTGAAAAACCTTCCCAATAACGTGTGGGATGAGCGAAACATTGTTGATTGGACCTCGTCTAGTGAGAATTGTACAATCCGATCATCCGTGACATGAGCCATTGGGGACCACAATCCCAAACTTCTTTATATACAAGTTTCATCATGAGCTCCCATAAAACTCAAGGTGGATATGTATGTGATTTCCACTCATTTAGTTTTATGTCCCATACAAGATATCTTTGAACTCCTTATTTGGATCACTTAAAATTATCCAATAACCAAATAGCAAATATTTAATTGTGTATATAAAATATGTGGTCAATTATTATTATTAGATAATAAAATTTCCAAACAATCTACCACTTCGGCTGCATATTTTTCTTGAAGCAATTATATCACAAAATTCTTTAGGCATGCGCCGTATGCTATTTGTGCCTAGACATCTCATGAAACAATCCGGTTCACCTCGTGTATTGCAGTGGAACCAACGCAACTTTAATCATGATATGTTAATGATTAAACCACGAAGATAAGCACACCAATACACTTAAGTACATAGATCAAATATGGATGAGTGACACGAAAATTACACATGCAATGCAATCTCAAACATGTCTATTTTGAACTCGTCAAACATTAATCTTTAATGAGATCAACTGAAATTCTTTCATACAATGTGACCATTGTATAACTGAAGGCACTTTAAATTCCAAAATAGAGTTTAGAAACATCACCTTATCATGCAAAAATTGATTTAGTCATCTATAAATGACTCCTGCTAAACCAAGGTACCATATGAAATAACATGCATGCGAGCAATGTGCTCTTCGAAAAATTTAGGTGACAAATCTTTGGCTAATGGGTAAGCTAGAATTAGTCTATATAATCTAAAATTTCAATAGAAAGTTGTCAATTTTTAACCTTCTCTTTAACTCCTAGAAACTTGATGTCAATTACTATGACTTCCGAACTCCTATGGTAATGATAGTGTATCACTATCAAATCATTGCCACTGTTAAATTTTAATGACTTTTCATTGCCCTGCAACTAGAAGAAAAACTCAAGAAATGACATAAATTAAAGACTCGTAACAAAACTATGAACTTTACCCAACACAGAAAAATATTCTGATTAGTCATCAGGAGACAAGGAGTTTAGCTTATGTATCCTCCGATCCTAAAACTGTGGGTAAGGAAATTGTATGCGAAGAAGTTGATCCATAGTTGGAAGCTATGGTAAGGCATTTAGTAAGTTTTCCGGTATGTGAGGCTCCCACTAGGAGGAGTAAGGAAAAGCGGAAGATAGTTCGGGTACTACTGGAGTGAATCTGGTAAAATCATTTTGAGAGGTGGCGGATAGTCTGCCCTTTGAGGATGAGTTTCGGAAGGTTATCAATGGGGTCAAGCCTCGAGTTTGGAAGCAAAAAATTCCACAGGTTTAGGTTCAAGATGCTAGACACGAATTCAATGTCTTTGGGCGGTTTACTAAAATGGAGCTGGAAAAGTTAACTGGTAAAAGTAGGAAAAGTGGAAAGAAGTCTAAGCGTAAAGCCATTCCTTCCCAATGATCACATTATTTTGGAATGTGAGAGGGAT